CCCCCTTGTCTTGTATGCAACAAATACCAGCGCGCCCAGCCATTCAGGGCCACTACCGCTCTCCGCGTCTTGGTGGTAGCGGTCCCCCGGGCCCAGCTGTTTTCTATCTCTTTGTCTTGTGTCTTTATTTCTTACAATCTCTCGTCTCCGCACAGGGGAAGAACACCCTCAAAGCCCCGTAAGGCTGGACCCTACATCAGCCGCTCTGCTTGGGGTTGGCGATGCTGGAGGTGGGCCTTGGACCAGAGAAAATGCTTTCATTAGGTGACAAGCGGGCAGAGGCCTTTGTTTCTGGCGCCCGCAGCCACGGCCCCCGCTGACGGCATGGGAAACAGATCCTGTTCCACTCCGGTCTCCAGCATTGGAATGGTTGCCTCGGTGCAATGCAGGTCTGGAAAGTAGCAGTTTAGCACGGGACCCTAGAATTCCCCAAAAGGAGTAACTAGGAGCTGGGATTCTGGAATTTGAGTGTGGACGGCGGGTTGGGTGGGTGGGAGATCGGAGACCCCGGTGGGCGCGGGGGGCACCTGCAGGCTGGAGGCCCTCGCGCGCTCCCGCGGCAGCCTGGCAAACAGGTTCTCCATTCCCCAGGAGGATGCGGCCGGGGGCGGACGATCGCTCCACTCGCCCGGACCAGGTGCGGGGGCCCTGCCCAGCCACTGGGGCGTGGCCAGGCTCGACGCAGCCAGGTGCCGGGGGCCGACTCTAAGCCCTGGCACCAGAAGGGAGAGGGCGGCGGATTGGACCTCCCGGCTCGAGCATTGCAACTGGGAGCTCCGTCTCCGGGTCCACGCAATGATGCCGCGGCTGCTCGAAAGCCAGGTAGGCTGCCCCGGGTGAAGTCTTCATGGAGGTCAATGCCGGGGCGGAGGGGCAGGGCGCGGTCCCCCACATCCCCGATCTGGGGAGCGGTGGGTCCAAGGGCCATCGCCCTAGCCCGGGGCGCTGGGGCTCGGCGCCAAGTGAGGGGCGGGCCTCCACCTTCCAGCCATCTGCCCAGCCCGGGAAGGCGGACGCTGAGAAACTCCCGGCCGCGCCCCCTCCTTCCTCCCCTCCCCAAGCCCTCGCTGCCAGTCCGGACAGGCTGCGCGGAGGGGAGGGCTGCGAGGCCGAAGAGCCGGACGCCTGGCGTTCCAGGGGCGGCCGGATGTGGCCTGCCTTTGTAGAGGGCGCGCTCCGGCCACGCAAAGCGGACTGTGGATCTGCCACCTGCAAGCAGCTCGGGTAAGTGGGGACTGCCGGTGCCTGGGACCCAGCAACAACTCCTTCAGAGCCAGGAGGTGCACCCCCAACCTCTTCTCCAGGTCTTCCTAAGGCCCTAAGACTCTCCGCCGCCTCCCCAGCCATTACTTCTCCAGGAACCCAGATGCTTCTTCCGCTCCTGACCCTCCAGCCTCTCTTGTTTTACTTCGACTATCGCTTCCCATCACCACCTCTGTGGTGGATTTTGTTCCTCACAGACAGCCACTCGTGAGAAACAGGCTGATGGAAGAGTCCAGTATCAGCGGACCTTACAGGAGGGGAGACTCGAGATGCCTGCAGGAAAGGTGCAGGAACCTGGACCATGGCTGGCTGTTTTGCTTTTTTTTTTTTTTTTTTTTTTAGAGGGTCTTTTTTTTTGAGAGGGTCCCTCTCTGTCACCCAAGCTGGAGTGCAGTCAGTGGTGCTATCGCGGCTCATTGTGAGCTCCGGGGGTCCTCCCGCCTTAGCATCCGGTGTAGCTGAAACCACAGACACGTGCCGCCATGCCAAGCTAATTTTTTTTTTTTTTGGTGGGGGGACGGAATTTCACTCTTGTTGCCCAGACTCGAGTGTAATGGCACGATCTCGGCTCACCACAACCCCCGCCTCCCGGGTTCAAGCGATTCTCATGCCTCAGCCTCCCTAGTAGCTGGGATTACAGACATGCGCCACCACGCCTGGCTACTTTTGTATTTTAAGTAGAGACAGGGTTTCTCCGTGTTGGTCAGTCTGGTCTCCCACTCCGGACCTCAGGTGATCCGCCCGCCTTGGTGTCCCAAAGTGCCGGAATTACAGGTGTGAGCCACCGCTCCCAGCCCATGCCAAGCTAATTTAAATTTTTTTTTTTTTTGTAAAAGGGGAGTCTTGCTCTGTTGCCCAGGCTGATCTTGAACTCCTAGGCTCAAGGAATCCTCCCATCTCAGCCTCTCAATATGCTGAAATTACAGGTGTGAGCCACAGCGCCCAGCCAAATCATGGCTATCTTGAAAACCACTTGTCTTCCAATCCCCATGCCCCGAAATTCCAAGGCTCTCATCCCTCAAACCTAGGACTCCGGCGCTCCCTACCTCAGCCCCAGGAGTCTAAACCTGTGACTTCCTCTTTCCCTGGGACTAAGGAGTGCTGCACCCCAGGCACCTCCCTTCCCCCACATCCCTCCTCTGCCTCCCCTCCCTAGTCTCTGTGTATTTGCTAATTCACCTTTCCTCCCCTGCAGCCATGTGGCCCCTGAGCCGTCGTCAGCTCTGCCTGGCCTTCCTGCTGGTCTGTGTCCTCTCTGCGCTCTCCTTCTTCCTCCATATCCACCAAGACAGCTTTCCACATGGCCTAGGCCTGTCGATCCTGTGTCCAGATCGCCGCCTGGTGACACCCCCGGTGGCCATCTTCTGCCTGCCAGGTACCCCGGTGGGCCCCAACACCTCCTCTTCCTGTCCCCAGAGCTCTGCCTCCCTCTCCGGCACCTGGACTATCTATCCCGATGGTCGGTTTGGTAATCAGATGGGACAGTATGCCACGCTGCTGGCTCTGGCCCAGCTCAATGGCCGCCGGGCCTTCATCCTGCCTGCCATGCATGCCGCCCTGGCGCCGGTATTCCGCATCACCCTGCCCGTGCTGGCCCCAGAAGTGGACAGCCGCACACCGTGGCGGGAGCTGCAGCTTCACGACTGGATGTCGGAGGAGTATGCGGACTTGAGGGATCCTTTCCTGAAGCTCTCTGGCTTCCCCTGCTCTTGGACTTTCTTCCACCATCTCCGGGAACAGATCCGCAGGGAGTTCACCCTGCACGACCACCTTCGGGAAGAGGCGCAGAGTGTGCTGGGTCAGCTCCGCCTGGGCCGCACGGGGGACCGCCCGCGCACCTTTGTGGGCGTCCACGTGCGCCGTGGGGACTATCTGCAGGTTATGCCTCAGCGCTGGAAGGGTGTGGTGGGCGACAGCGCCTACCTCCGGCAGGCCATGGACTGGTTCCGGGCACGGCACGAAGCCCCCGTTTTTGTGGTTACCAGCAACGGCATGGAGTGGTGTAAGGAAAACATCGACACCTCCCAGGGCGACGTGACGTTTGCTGGCGATGGACGGGAGGCTACACCGTGGAAAGACTTTGCCCTGCTCACACAGTGCAACCACACCATTATGACCATTGGCACCTTCGGCTTCTGGGCTGCCTACCTGGCTGGCGGAGACACTGTCTACCTGGCCAACTTCACCCTGCCAGACTCTGAGTTCCTGAAGATCTTTAAGCCAGAGGCTGCCTTCCTGCCCGAGTGGGTGGGCATTAATGCAGACTTGTCTCCACTCTGGACATTGGCTGAGCCTTGAGAGCCGGGGAGATTTTCTGAAATAGCCTGATCTTTCTAGAGCCAGCAGTACATGGCTCTAGGCCTGGCATCTTCTGGAGAAGTCTGTGGTGTTCCTGAAGCAAATGGGTGCCCATTTCCAGAGCGATTCTAGTTGGGAGAGTTGGAGAGAAGGGGGACCTTTCTGGAACTGTCCGAACATTCTAGAACTAGCAAAACATCTTTTCCTGATGGCTGGCAGGCAGTTCTAGAAGCCACAGTGCCCAACTGCTCTTCCCAGCCCATATCTACAGTACTTCCAGATGGCTGCCCCCAGGAATAGGGAACTCTCCCTCTGGTCTATTCTAGAAGAGGGGTTACTTCTCCCTTGGGTCCTCCAAAGACTGAAGGAAAATATGATTGTCCAGAGCAAACATTCACCAAGTCCCCTTCTGTGTTTCTGGGGTGATTCTAGAGGGAGACTTCTTCTAGAGAGGGCCAGATTTGATGCCTGTAAAGAACCCTGCAGGGCCCTTAGAGACAGGATGGGGTTCTGGAAATCCAGATAACTAAGGTGAATAATCTTTTTAGTTTTTGTTTTCTCGCCCTGTTGCCCAGGCTGGAGTGGCCTCGCCCTGTTGGGTCTCGCCCTGTTGCCCAGGCTGGAGTGCAGTGGCGTGATCTTGGCTCACTGCAACCTCCGCCTCCTGGGTTCAAGCGAATCTCCTGCCTCAGCCTTCTGAGTAGCTGGGACTACAGGCACACGCCATCATGCCCAGCTAATTTTTGTATTTTTATGTTGGCCAGGATGGTCTTGATCTCTTGACCTTGTGATCCACCTGCCTCAGCCTCCCAAAGTGCTGGCATTACTGGCGTGAGCCACAGTGCCCGGCCCGGATAATTTTATTCTTTATTTTTTATTTATTTATTTATATATATTTTTTGAGACGGAGTCTCTCTGTAGCCCAGGCCAGAGTGCAGTGGCGCGATCTCAGCTCACTGCAAGCTCCGCCTCCCGAGTTCATGCCATTCTGCCTCCGCCTCCGGAGTAGCTGGGACTACAGGCGACTGCCACCCCACCCAGCTAATTTTTGTTTGTATTTTTAGTAGAGATGGGGTTTCACTGTGTTAGCCAGGATGGTCTCAATCTCCCGACCTCGTAATCTGCCCTCCTCGGCCTCCCACAGTGCTGGCATTACAGGCGTGAGCCACTATGCCCAGCCCGGATAATTTTTTAAAATTTTTGTAGAGACAAGGTCTTGTGATATTGCCCAGGCTGCTCTTGAACTCCTGGGCTCAAGCAATCCTCCCACCTTGGCCTCCCAGAATGCTGGGATTACAGACGTGAACCAGCACACCTGGCCAAGTGAAGAATCTAATGAATGCACAACCTAATTGTAGCATCTAACAAGTGCCCCACCATTGCTGGAAAAATTGAGATGGAAAACAAGCCATCTCTAGTTGGCCAGCGTCTTGCTCTGTTCACAGTCTCTGGAGAAGCTGGGGTAGTTGGTGAGCAGAGCAGGACTCCGTCCAGCCAGCCCTCCAGCCCCTCAAAGACTTTTTTTTGTTTGTTTTGAGCAGACAGGCTAAAACGTGAAAGTGGGGTGAGGGATCACTGCTAAAATGGTGCAGCTTCTGGAGCAGAACTTTCCAGGGATCCAGGGACACTTTTTTTTAAGCTCATAAACTGCCAGAGCTGCATATATTGGGTCTGAGTTCAGGTTTCCTCTCACAATGAAGGAAGATGGTCTTTCTCTACAGGTGGGCCGCCGGGGGTCTGGGATCTGTTTTCTGGAAGTGTGGAGGCATAAACACACCCTCTGTTTTTGTGACAAGCTGGCAAGCACTGTGCTCATTGCTAGCCATTGTCTGCCCCTGAACACCCAGAACCATTACATCTGGCTTTGGGCAGGTCTGAGATAAAAGGATCTAAAGGCATGCAGACACTGGACCCAGCCTCAAATCCAGGCAGGAGTACGAGGTCTGGCCAAGGTGGACAGGACTATTGAGATCTCAGGAGTCCCTTGCTTTTTTTTGGAGGGTGAAAGAAGAAATCTTAAACTTAGCCAACTCTGATCACATCCCCTATCTACTCATCCAGGATCCCATGCCTCCAAGCTTATCAGGGAGTTATACTTACAGTACAATTGTTACAGTTACAGCACTGTTCCCAACTCAGCTGCCGCAGGTAAGAGAGCAGGAGGTATGAATTAAAAGTCCACAGCACCAACCTCTGTCTCTGCAGCTTTTTTGGAGTCAGAGCTGCCGTGTGTGTGTGTGTGTGTGTGTGTGTGGTTGTGTGTGTGTAAGGGAATGGAGGAAAAGGTGGGTACTTCTGAAGACCTTTTTTTTTTTTTTTTTGAAGACCGAGTCAAGCTGGAGTGCAGTGGTGTGATCTCGGCTCACTGCAACCTCCACCTCTCGGGTTCAAGTGATTCTCCTGCCTCAGCCTCCCGAGTAGCTGGGACTACAGACGTGTGCCACCATGTCCAGCTAATTTTTGTATTTTTAGTAGAGAGGGGTTTTCACCATGTTAGCCAGGCTGGTCTCAAACTCCTGAGACCGCAGGCAATCCGCCCACCTGGCCTCTCAAAGTGCTGGAATTACAGGCGTGAGCCACTGCGCCCGGCCCTGAGGATTTTTATTACTCGTGATTGGGAGTACTGTCCCTACTTAGATCTGACAGCTCCTTGTTGCTGGACTTGTGAGAGTTGTGGTCCCTGTTTTTCTGGTTTCCTGTTTCAGTCACACAGGAGAGACAGACCTTCCAGGACCCAAACGTCTGAGCCCCCAGTTGCTCTTTTCTGGACCCTCAGTATTGACCCCCAGTCCTCTCCTCCCGCTGGGACCTCCGCGTGGGGAGAAGAGGCGGAGGAGGGAGCGAACGGATTATCATTGAACTACATTTCCCGGAAGGCTATGGGGTTGGCAGCGCTAATCAGCTACAGAGAAAGAGGCCCCAGGACATTTTGGGAATTGTAGTCTTATGGCTAAAACGTCCACTTCGTAGCTCGACAGCCGTTTCCAAGGACCGCGGTAGGGGCGGCAGCGGCTTGGGGGGCCGGATCTAGCCCAAAGCCTGGGTCCTGGGGCAAGGAGAGGGGAGAAAGCTGAACGCTAGAGTCCGGTCCTTGACTCTGGAAGCCAGAGCAGCCAGGAGCCTTCCTCTTCGGTAGATGCAGGGAAAGTTCTAGTCCAAAAAGGCTGCAGCCTCTGTGACGTCATGGAGCGATAGGCGGGGCCTCCCTTTGTTGCAGTCCAATCAGACAGAGTTGGGTTTCTGGGTGGGGCCAAGGAACGCCCAAGGAATATCTATCAGGGAATTCGGGCCCCTACGTGAGAAGCTCGCAGCGGGTGGTTGCAGGAGTTCCCTGAGGAGAGGGGATCCTCCGTGACTCGGACCCCCATCGAAAAGCTCTCGATTTCACGCAACCAACCTTACCCTCGTCCCCAACAAAATCCTTGATTTTAGCCCTGGGAAAATTAGCGTAGGTGGTCATGACCCCAGGTTCTTCTTTAAAAGCCCTCAGAACCTGGACCGGGCTCCTCAACGAACCCCAGTGTTAGAAGCCACAAGTCAGGAATCAAGGTCGGGGAGCGGCTCTTTAGGGTGCATCACTGTTCAGGATGCACCGGGGCTCCTTTTTCTAAGCAGAAGGGTGCGCCCCGCAAATTGGGAGCCCGTTAGTTTTGGGGAAGGGTGAACAAGGGCCCCCTGGGTCAGGAGGACCGCATGGAGTCTTGCTTAAGTCTTAGTACGGACCCCAGGTTTAGGAATTCGGAATGTGTTTTGGTTTTGAAGGACTTCCGAGTTTGACAATATCGTGCTTGGGTCTGTGTTAGATGATTTATTGGTTTGGGCTTTGAATCTTCAGCTTGAGGTTCAACAGGTTTTTGGGGGCTGGCGGGGGAGTGCCTCAGGGTTGCGCTTAAAGGTTGGAGTTCAGGATCACGTCAATCTGGGGACTTGGAAAATTCCATAGTTTGGGATTTTGGGAAGGGGCGCATGGGGTTGGGAGATTCCAGGTCCTGAGTTTGGGGACTTACGAATGCTTCCTGTTTAACGGTTTTTCTGATCTCTCAGTTGGGATGCAGTGAGAACCCTAAATTTGGGGTCCCCTGGGTTGGGGCTCAGTTTCACACTTCGGAGGCATTTGATGAACGACATAGGTCCTCTTTATTTGGAGATTTCCTGAAGATCCTCTTTTCGCGGTTTGGGGACCCCATGGGTAGGGAGCCCAGTGGGATTTCTTAAGATGGATTTTGGCTTTTCTCCGTTTAGCGTTCTCCTGCTCTCGGTTTGGGGTGAGAGCAGCCTTCCTAACGGTCTTCGGGAACTGTGCGCGCCGGCTGCAATGGGGCCACATTTTACCCTCCTGTGTGCGGCGCTGGCCGGTTGCTTGCTTCCTGCCGAGGAGTGTGTTATATGTGACCCGTCTGTCGTGCTGGCGCTAAAGTCCCTGGAGAAAGATTATCTGCCTGGCCATCTGGACGCGAAGCATCACAAAGCCATGATGGAAAGGGTAGAGAAAGCTGTGAAGGATTTCCAGGAACTGTCGCTTAATGAGGATACCTATATGGGGGTCGTTGGTGAGGGCAGGGGAGACCACGGACCCCTGGGTCCTGGGAAAGGGAAGGAGGGAGATAAGACCAGGGGGAGGAAGAGGCTGACAGCAAGGTCTCCGGGATTCGGGAGTGGAGAAGGCTGAGATGCAGATTCTGAAGTTCCCTGGGGCTGGTACATACTGTTTTCCCTATCCTTATCCGGCGATTTTACGTAATAAAACTACAACTCCCAGAAGGCAACGGGCGACTGAGTCCTTAACCAGGCCTATCCTTGCCCAGTGGCCTCATGGGTATTGTAGTTTCTAAGATTAGGCGCGCCAATGAGACAGTTAAGGCTGGAATCTGGGGTTGTATCTCCCCTGACAGACGAGGCCACACTGCAAAAGGGGTCCTGGAGTTTGCTGAAGGATCTGAAACGCATCACAGACAGTGATGTAAAAGGTAAATGCCCCAAGGGAGTAGGGGTCCAGAATCTCTCAGGGAAGCCAGCATTAGTGCTGCCTGGTCTCTTGGTCAGATACTAGGCTGTGGGGCCAGACTGCCTAGGTTCAAATGCCTGCTCTGCCACTTCCTAGCTGTATGGCCTTGAGCAAAGGACTTTGAAGCTCCCTTGGCTCTAAAATGCTCCCTCAGTTGTTCAGTTTAAATGTGTATTGCTGGCCGGGCGTGGGTAGCTCATGCCTATAATCCCGGTACTTTGGGAGGCTGAGGCAGACAGATTGCTTGAGCTCAGTAGTTAAAGACCAGCCTGGCCAACAGGGTGAAACCTTGTCTCTACAAAAAATACTATACATATATATATACACACATATATATAACCTGGGCATGGTGGTGTGTGTCTGTAGTCCTAGCTACCTGGGGGGTTGAGGCCGGAGGATTGCTTGAGTCCAGGAGGTTGAGGCTGCAGTGAGCCATGATTGCACCACTGCACTCCAGCCTGGGTGGCAGAGTAAGGCCCTCCCCCATCCCCCAAAATATGCATGGCTTAGCCTAGCGGCTGGCATTACGTTAGACGGTCAATGTTAGTGCCCTTTCCTGAGAAGGCCAGGAAGTAGACTGCCAGCTCTGCAGGCAGAAGTAAACTTCCAGCACCTCACACGTGGGACTGGGGGTTCCTGTGTCTTCCCAGGTGATCTCTTCGTGAAGGAGCTATTTTGGATGTTGCACTTGCAAAAGGAAACCTTTGCCACCTATGTTGCTCGATTCCAAAAAGAGGGTGAGAGAAAATGGGAGTCTGTGTCCCCCAGCTCCTCTTTCCACTATCCAAGAGTCCCTGTCTCCAGCCCCTTACTTCTCCAAGCCCAGTTCCTCAGCTTCTCCAACTGCCTCCTCCTTCAGACCCAAGTCTTTTCTCCCTCAAACCCAAGAGCCCAAAGCCCAGCTCTTCCCCAAACCCCCTCTTCCATCATCTTTCATTTAGAAATCTGACTCTGTCATCTCTCTCTCTCTTTTTTTCTCTTTTGACACAGCTTATTGTCCCAACAAATGTGGTGAGTCCGGATTACAGAAGTTAACCCTCTAGTCCTCATCCTGCCCTCTGAATAGTCAGCTTCCCCACTCGCCTTTTTGGATCCTGGTGGTTTTGTCATTCTCCGCCTTGGAGAGGTTCCTGGGTCTCCAGTATTCTTTTTCCACCTTGGATTTCCTGGGGAGCAGGTCATATTCTACTTACACTCCTTTTTTTTTTTTTTTTTTTTTTTTAAAGACAGTCTCACCCTGTTGCCCAGGCTGGAGTGCAGTGGTGCGATCACGGCTCACTGCAACCTCCGCCTCCCAGGTTCAAACTATTCTGCCTCAGCCTCCCTGAGTAGCTGGGATTACAGGTGCTGGCCACCACACTCAGCTAATTTTTGTATTTTTAGTAGAGACAGGGTTTCACCATGTTGGTCAGGCTGGTCTTGAACTCCTGACCTTGTGATCTGCCCACCTCGGCCTCCCAAAGTGCTGGGATTACAGGAGTAAGCCACCACGCCCGGCCTTTGCTTACACTCTTTACTGAGCCTTGTTGGAGTCCACTTCCTACCCACCTGCGTCCTGATCCTGTCCCTTCCTCTGACCATGTAGGAATGTCGTAGATGACCTGGCCCCAGCCTTTGGCCCTGACCTCTCCTTTTAGCCATGCACCTTAGTGGGCAAATACAAGCCTTGACTCTGCCCCTCCAGGTGTGATGTTGCAAACTCTGATCTGGTGCAAGAACTGCAAAAAGGAGGTTCACGCTTGTCGAAAGTCCTACGATTGCGGGGGTGAGAGAACTGTACTCAGCAGGAGGAACTGGTGCAGGTGGGGTGGGGCGATAGGAGAGACAGACTAGAGAGAGCTTAGACGGGGGTGTGGGGGCAGTAGACAAGAAAAGGCAGGGTTTAGGCTGGGTACAGTGGCTCATACCTATAATCCCAGCACTTTGAGAGGCTGAGACGGGAGGATCGGGAAGCCAGGAGTTTGAGACCAGCCTGGGCAACATAGCGAGACCCCATCTCTACAAAAAAATTTAAAAATCAGCCAGGTGTGGTGGTGTGTGCCTGTAGTCCCATATACTTGGAAGGCTGAGGCAGGAGGATTGCCTGGACCCAGGAGTTGGAGACTGCAGTGAGCTACGATCATACCACTGCACTCCAGCCCGGGCAAAAGAGTGAGACCTTGTCAAAAAAAAAAAAAAAAAAAAAAAAGAGGCGTGCGAGCTGGCTCACACCTGTAATCCCAGCACTTTGGGAGGCTGAGGCAGACAGATCGCCTGAGGTTAGGAGTTCGAGACCAGCCTAGCCAAAATGGTGAAACCCCGTCTCTACTAAAAATACAAAACTTAGCCGGGCATGGTGGCGTGCGCCTGTAGTCCCAGATACTCAGGAGGCTTAGGCAAGAGAATCGCTTGAACCCGGGAAGCGGAGGTTGCAGTGAGCGGAGATCAGGCCACTGTACTCCAGCCTGGGCGACAGAGCAAGATTCCATCTCAAAAACAAACAAACAAACAAACAAACAAACAAAACCGTGAAAGAGTGTCCCATGGTCTTCCTCCGCCCCCAGAGCGCAGTGTGGAGGTTCCTCAAATGGAAGATATGATCCTGGACTGTGAGTTAAACTGGCATCAGGCTTCTGAAGGCCTCACTGATTACAGCTTTTACAGGGTGAGGGCCTCAACTTCCGTAACCCTTGAACTCCCTAGACTACAATACTTGTGTACTGGATCTGTGGGCCTGCACCCACGATTCTCATGACCCAGGCGGGTGGTCTATTAGGTGTGGTCTCTACTGACCTCTGGGGACCCCGTGCCCCGACCAGTGACACCCTGGACACCCACCTCCCACACTGAGGCCCTGTGATCTTCTCAACCCGGTACTCCCCCAACCCCTGAATTCCTCAGGCCTCAGTGACCCCTTGAGCTTGGGTCTAGGTTTGGGGGAACAATACGGAGACCTTGGTGTCCAAGGGGAAAGAGCCCACCCTGACCAAGTCCATGGTGGGTCCAGAGGATGCAGGCAGCTACCGCTGCGAGCTGGGCTCTGTGAATTCCAGCCCAGCCACGGTCATCAATTTTCGCGTCACAGGTCAGTGCTGTGGGGTTGAGAGAAGTGTAGGATTCAGGGCCCAGGAAAGCTGGGGTCCGCGGCGGGGGCGTGGCCTCGGCGATGGGGGCGTGACTTCCTGTTGGGTGTGGTTGCGGGACAAGGGGTGTGGCTTCCCGCCGGGGGCGTGGCCTCTGACCCCGAGGACAGGCTTTCCCTTGGGTGTGTTCAGGCTTTACACTGTTGAAGGCGTGATTATCTCTGGGATGGCAGGCTACCGGGACGGGCTTGCCTTTGCCAGGGCAGGAACTCCACGCCCTGCCAGGACTGCTCTTTACACTTTCTCTAACAGTGTTGCCCAAAAGGGTCGAGGAGGAAAAACCGTCCCCAAATATCGTAACCCCGGGGGAGGCGACCACGGAGTCGTCCAATACCCTCCAGCCTCTGAAGCCCGAGAAAATGCTGAAAGGCCGCCTTCTGGGGCTGCTGATCTGGGGCTCCCTAGCACTGATAACCGGCATTACCTTTGCGTGAGCAACCCGTTGAAGAAGGCTGGCTAGGCTTGGAGTAAGGGGCGGGGCTTCCAGGAACCCAACGCAGAAGCTGGGCTGGGGGCTTCTGAGGACTGAGAGCAGGACTTTCCTGGGGATGGAGTGCGGGGGACTTGCATAGGAGGACTTCGAAGGGCGAGGCTTAGATAATTGCTAGAATAAAGTCACACAGAGGGTGGTTGGGAGGGGTGTCCCCCACACAATTACTACCCAACCCGGTTCCATGATCTGCACCCCACTCCCACCCCTAGGATATTTTGTCGAAGGAAGGTGATCGATTTCATCAAGTCCTCACTGTTTGGCCTTGGCAGTGGAGTGGTCGAGCAACCCCAGGTCCCAAAAGAAAAAGCCACAGATTCGAGGCACCAATAAAGATTTATCTTGTTGTCAAAGCATCTGACTCACTCCCCTGGACGGGGCTGATCCTAGCCTTTGGTTCCCCGAGAGCAGAGGTCTGGGGATGGGCTCCGGCCTGAGGGAAGAAGGGCGGGAAACCAGGACCCTTGGGTCGTGGAGGGGGCCATCTGGCTGCGACGTAATTCCAGAATCAAGGAATGGGGCAGGGCCAACCCTCCCCAGATCTCCTCCCCCAGGCCTGGTCTCCTCACAGGACGCCCCCTCCCCGCTCTTCCTGCCGGGTTTCCTCTTGCCTTTTCCTGTCCCCCACCCAGTGCTGGGAGCCGTGGCAGAGGCAAGAGCAGTGGAACTGACCCAGGCCAGTGGAGCCAGGGCCTCCGGGTGTGCCGGACCCGAAGCAGGGTAAGAGCCAGGGACCCAGCGGCCCAAACCCTCCTCCCTGGGACCCAAGACTCAGTCCCCCAGCCATCTTCCATCCCAGGACCCAGGAATCCAGGGTACCATCCCTCTCCTCAATCTGGGCTCGCAAGTCTGAGCCCCAGCCCCCTCCTCCCTCTGACTCGGAGTCCAGGTTCCCTCCACCCCATTCCCACAAGAGTGCCTTAGGAGTTGAAGCCTTCCTCGCCTTCCCTTAGGGCCATGCTATCTGGTGAACGGAAGGAGGGCGGAAGCCCCCGCTTCGGGAAGCTTCATCTCCCCGTGGGCCTGTGGATCAATTCCCCCAGGAAGCAGCTGGCGAAGCTGGGGCGGCGCTGGCCCAGCGCAGCCTCTGTCAAGTGAGTGCCATCTCTGCAGGACTCCTGCCCCTGCACACCTGCCTCCCATCTGTCCCTGTTCACGGCCCAGTCCCTGCAAAGGGTTGGCTCCGGTCCTCATCCTGAATTGGGCAAGCGAGCTTGTGGGCAGGGCGAGACGGTGGGGCGCAGCGATACCAGGGCGCTGTGGGAGTAAGAGCTAGGCCAGGCAGGAGGTGGAGTGAGGCCAGATCGGCACCGGGATGAGGACAGAAAGAGCAGGGGGATTGATCACCTTCCTTCCTCCCCTCTCTGCTCACCTCTTGGACTTTCCTTCTGTGGGACTTGCCTTTTTAATTAATTAATTAATTTATTTATTTATTTTCTCTCTCTTTGCCTCGCGTCTCTGTGCCAACCCTCACCCCCGCCCCGTCCATCCACCCTGGATCCCTGTCCTCTCTCTGGGTCTCTGCTCACTTCCCTCCTAATCTGTCCTCCACCCCCGTCTTGGCGTGTTGTTCTGGGTCTCTCTCTCGCGACTCTGTTCCCTGGCGGACTCCCAGGTCTTCTTCGTCGGACACGGGGAGCCGTAGCAGCGAGCCGCTACCTCCACCCCCGCCGCACGTGGAGCTGCGGCGAGTGGGCGCTGTCAAGGCGGCCGGGGGAGCCTCCGGTAGTCGCGCCAAGCGCATCTCCCAGCTTTTCCGGGGCTCGGGGACCGG